AAAAAAAAAAAAAAAAAAAAGGTACGCTGAGAGCGGCTGCCAAGTGCCATTCAAGAGAAAGGCAGGCTCATAAAAACATTAGAGTGTTCTCATCTACCTTATTCACCGAGTCTGGCACTGTGTGATTTCTGGTTCTTCCCCAAAGTCAAAATGGCCATGAAAGGGCTGAGGATTTAGCTCAGTGTGGCCGCCACCTGCCTTGCAAGCACAAGGTACCGAGTTTGACCTCCAGAAACCACACACACACACACACACACACACACGCACACACACACACACAAAATGGCCAAGAAAGATAAACGTTTTAAATCAATTCAAGACATCGAGGTAGCCATAAAGGCACTCACAAAAGAGGACTTCCAGAACTGCTTCAGAAAGTGGTAAGAACAGTGGGATAAGTGTGTTCAAAGTTGGGGAATATTTTGAGTGGGATTAATGGCAACATGTCTTTCACTGTAACAATTTTTTTTTTGGTACCGGGGATAGAACTCAGGACCTTGCACTTGTGAGGCAGGCGCAGTGCCACTGAGCTAAATCCCTGGCCCACAAACTTTTAATTTAAACATTCACTGTATTTTTTATCACATTTCATAAATGGGTGTGCACTGTAAAATTCTCTAGCTTTGCAATATACTAGAATTTTTTCATAATAAAATGTTCAAGGGAAAACTAGAAACTAAGTCTAAGGCCAAGAGCTAGATATAATCAATCATATTAAATATTAAACAGACTACTTTTTAAAATGCAAAGGATAAAAATCATTAAACAGCTCAAAAATTTTTCCATGCCTTCTTCCTCAATATTTTCCAAAGCCTTCCTCTTACTATCTCTTTCATGGATCAGTACTATTAATGATTTTATCTATCAAATAAATTTATTAATAATTAATTTGTTTACCCTCTGAATTAGGATGAATCAGAAGTAGCCTGTGGAGAGCACACAGCTCTAATGAGCTGACTCCTTCTCACCAAAGGAGAGGCTGTTTACCCGCCCACAGGCCCCGGCCGCCTGGTGACAGAGGTCCTCAGCCACTGTGTGACAGACCCAGTACCTCCCCGACCCTTCCCACACCCTCGGGCTCCTAAGCCAGAAGACAAAAGTATGACTTCATTTTAATGGGTGAAAAACTGAATTTATTTCCTTGCTCCGTGGCAGGGCTATTTTTAAAAGCCATGGGGGGGGATAATAAAAATCATAGCAACACCTCATTAGCACTTACTCCATACAGGCACTGTTACAAGCAGTCTGCATATATAACTCTTCCTAACAACAGTGTGAGATAGGTTCTGTAGTTATCCCCATCATTACAATGAGCCACATGCTGGCCCTTTTAATTTTTTATTTTGAGACATCATGTCGCTGAGTTGCCCACCCTGGACTTGAACTTGCAGTCCTTCTGCCTCAGCCAGCCAGCATGCTGGGATTACAGCCATGCACCACCATGCTCAGTTACTGTCCCCCTCCTTGAAGAAACAAAACCAAGACATTATATACAGTTGTCTAAGGAAACACCGCTAATAAATGATGGAGCAGAGGTTTGAATCCAGGTGGTTTGGGCTTCAGAGTCTGTACTCTAAACCAGTGATGGCAAATCTTTCAGAGCTTTCAATGATGCAAACAGCCTGCTGTGGCATGTGTGCCACAGGTTTGTCACCACTGTTCTAAACCAAAGTGTGATAGACGTCTGCTGTGTCATTTATCCTTTCTTTTACCCATCTACCTAACACGCTTTTATATGTAAATGTATATGCTTATATATATGTTTATATATAACAAACCTCATCTCAACGAATTAAATCTGAGAATGACAAATGAACACAGTAGTAAGCAAAATCCTCCAAGAGATGAACACAGGGGGTGCTGTGGTGCCACCACTTGAAGAGAGATGGATGTGGCCATCAGGAGTTGTAATGGACTGAATTCATATGACCTTCAAAATTCATGTTGAAATCCTCACCCCTAAAGAGTGGTGGTATTAGGAGGTGTGACCTTTGACAGGTGGAGCCATCATGAATGGGATCAGTACCCTTATAAAAGAGGCTGGAGAGAGACCTTCACCCTTCCACCATGTGAAGGTAGGGTGAAAAGACTTCTCTATGAGACATCACGGTGGGAGGCGGGGCAGCGGAACAAAGCTACTTAGTTCATGGCAGTTGGGAAGCACTTTCTTGTAGATGTTCCTGCTGTGGAGCCATGGACTGAATCCCCCAAACCATAAGCCAAACTAACCTTCCTCACCTTTATAGTGTGAACACGGAATACCGTGGCTCAGTGAGGGGAAAGCTGACTAATCCAAGGACTTTCTAAAAGGGCAAATGATCCTCAATGGTCAAGCAAGATAAGACTGAAAAAGTAACCATTACGTTTGGCTCCATGTCGATTTGCTTTTAAAAAAAAAATAGTTGGGCTGGGGATTTAGCTCAGTGGTGCCGCTGCCTGCCTGCCTCGCAAGCACAAGGTCCTGAGTTCGATCCCCGGTACCAAAAAAAAAAAGTTGACAGGAACAAATTCTATCCATAGCAAGGGTAGAAATCAGATTCTCTAGGGTTAAGAATGGTCTGCATTTAGATGGTAGAACCAGCAAACAGCTCTAGAGACCCTCAGCCTCATTTTTAAACCCCAGTGGCATACTTCCTCTTAACAACATGTTCTATGATACTGTTTTCCCATTGGTATCGCAATGACAATGCATGATTTACCCATTTACTCAGATCAGAAGTATGCTATATTACTATACTATAGGTTCTTTAAATTCTCTTAAATGTTACTTCAATTCACTTATCACTGTTTCAACTATGAAACTGTATCTTAAATGAATTGCAACAGCCTGCTAAGCGATATGCCTATGGGCACCCAGGGTCACAGTCATCCAGATTCCCCAGGATCATGTTCCTTCCCCAAGGAGAGAACAGGGACACTTCCTTGGATGGGAATAACACTGCTTCCTTGCCCTGTTCCAGTAACAGTGACCACAATCATGCAATGAACCCAAGGTTTAGAATCAAAATAAGAGACCATTATTAAAAGTGAATGATAATTTTCTTCGGGAATCTAACAAAAGGCTGGGTAAAGAATTAACATAGAGCTGGGGATTTAGCTCAGTGGTGCCATGCCTGCCTCACAAGCACAAGGTCCTGAGTTCGATCCCCAGTACCGCAAAAAAAAAAAAAAAAGAAAAGAAAAAGAATTAACGTAGTGGCATTAAAGCTTCTAAGTGCAAATGGAATAATGTGGAATTGTGTTTTAAAAATTAATGCTAAATTAATATGTATGCTTTTATAAAAGGTATAATCTTTTTTGAAACAACGGTTGTTTGCATACGCAATATATCTTAATACGTCTGTGGTATCTATGAAACCTCAAAACACTAGTGAATTTCCCTTTTCAAAAGGAAATTTGGCATTTACTTTAGGTTATTATAGTGACACTGTTTTCAACTAAAAAATGAAATCTGAATATAGATTATTTCCAGTGAATGAGATCTTGGGTGACATTTGCTTTCTTCTATTTGCTTATCTACATTTTAAAAGGGCAAATATATATATCTTCTGCAATTAAAAATTGCACTTTAATAAAACACTAATGAAGTAGAAAATAAGGTACAGTATTGTGTCGTTCCGGACCAGTTCTTTAGGCCGTACACTATAGAACCTGTACACCTACAAAAATTCTGAGTTTA